TCTACTGCGTACTGAGAAATAGCCTGAACAAGAGAATCAGTCACGTGGGAAGGCCCGGACCGAGCAACAACTCGGTAGACAGTTAGCATAAATTTCGCGCAATTACCAGGCTCGCATCCAACAAGGAGAACGAAATCGCGGCAATCAATGAGTCGGAAGCGGAGTGTCAAGCCATCACCGCACCAATTTAGACCCAAAGTGGTGACTACAGGAGACGGACGGATACTTATAGTACGCAAGCGGACGACAAGCGGACTACAAACTATAATACCGTGCAATCTGCGCATGTTTCGCCCTTATATGCGCATGCCTTCGATTATTTTACCATTACCTATGATTAAGTATTCCCGACGGAATCCGAAACGTCAGTAAAATAAAACTCTTGTTCCAGTGGTCACATCTTTTTCTTCTGTTCTTTGTTGGAAAGCGCGTTACGCGCTTATACTCAACTGTAGTACATGTTTTATCTGATTTGTTTGATCTTTCGCATGGCCGATAGAAATCTTTTGAAGTTCAAATAAGGAAAGGGGACTAGGCCTGCTAAATAATTTATAACTTCGCATCACGTTTTCTCGATTAGTTTTTCCAGCAGTGAACACTGTTTGGGGAAGACTTGATCAAAGAGCTCACAAAACGGAGCCTATAATCGACCGAAAACGATCAAATAAACACATTCCTTTTATGTCATTATTGTTCCTGCAAAGGAGTTCTGATAAGATAGGCCATGAAGCTGCATTCGGTTTACACCTAGTGTTGTTTCATTACAGTGTGGTTTTTACACTACATTCAACTTTTGCCTGAAGTGCAAAAGGCTAAAAGTTCATTTCGCACAATACTTGAGACTTCCTAGAAGTGGCTTCTGTTAGAGTAAACACTGAAACCAAAACTAAATATTGTACATTCTTAAGACCTTTTACCCCATGCTTTATATAAATGCATTTAGTGGCACATAGGCGTACACCGATCAGTTAGAGGACACACTCGTCCGTCCAGGGTGCGCTTTGAGCTTGTACTCGAGCTTAAGCCGTAATGCGGCTAGTGATATAGGCAGAGGGACATTAACGACAAAGACAGGGGAGACTAGGATGGCCAGTTCTGGCTTATTAGCCGTCGTCAGATAGTCATACCCAACTTAAGTGTTGCCCCAGAAATTGGTGCCCCGGTCGACTTTTTAACCCACCACCTAGTTAGTTAGAAGTCCAACACTCTAACTACTGCAACACGAGCTCGCATTCCTGTCGGTTTTATCATCGAGGATACACAGTTGCAGAGAGACGTACACCTTTGGAGCTCACACTCGAACCTACCGATGATATAGGCAGAACGACATTACCGACAAAGTAAATGGAGAGTAGGATGGCCACTAAGGGTATGCCGTCGGCAATAGTAGAGGTGAAAACAGCAAGATAATTCTGAGCATTCGCCGCGCTTCCGTATGTGGTGGTGCTCGTATTACCGGAGTCGACGCTGCGCGCGGGCAGGAGGTGTCCCTTGTCAAACAGAGAACTCATGGTGTTGGTCGATGCCGTTGCTCATCCTAGTCTTCCTTGTTTTTTAAAAATAAATTGTATGATGCAGAATGAAGACTCGTCGGAGCGATCGATGTGCACTCGTGAAGTTTCAAGTCAGTGACATCGATCCGTTTCCAGATGAAATAAACAGAGGAGAAAGTGAAGTGATCATACTAGACCAGGTGACGTGACAGAACAGATACGGACCGGAAGAAAACATATGCGTGAAGAGGAGGAATTGGTGGGCACATTTTTTCAGTAGGATTTAAGGCGGGAAGGGAGGATGAGAACGATTACGACCCCCTGTGCAGGAAGGAGAGAAATAGATCTACTGGTCGTTGGTACGGGCGGATGAGAAGGCCAATACACCATGATTATAGCTGTTAGGAGTTTCAGCTGTGGTCCGACCTGTAATAGGCAGGGGGTGGCGCTACAGGGGTATGCAACATGGTTCAACATGCATGTGCAGTTATTTTTAGGCCGTGGGCGTAAGCAGGACATGTAGGCCTTCGTACTGAGTGTCTCGATCGATAGAGCGATTGATGCTGGTTGTGCGAGAGTGCCAGGCTTCGAGGAATTATCGTGCCTGTTTGGTGTAAGCCATGGCAATGACTTCAATCTCTTCTCATTCGAAACATTAGCCGCACTCAAGGTCTTGCGCAAACACAAGTGGCAAAGGGTCACGTTGGTTAATGGTCAGCATATGTTCGTAAATACGCGTTCAAATTCGTCAGTACAGTAACAGTCAGCACACGCAATGCGATAGATGACATTGATATATTTGCATTGGAACCTCGTTTGGCGAGTTTAATTCGTTTCGGCACCAACTGGAGATGAATTGTTCAATTTTCAAGCGGGCTACGCCAGCCTGTCGTCAGACGAAATGAAAAAATAAACGTTTGGATTATAACACTAGAGCGTCTGTCGGATGAAGGCAGACGGACTGGCATGAGAGGTGGGCAAGAATCGTATTGAGATGAAAGACGGAAGTGACGGGAGGAGTGTTAAATGTCAGAGTGTTCTCTAAGTGTCGGAAGATGCCGCATCAGTAAATTTTCACTTTGCCGAATATGAATGAGGAAGTATTTTAAAATATGAATGCAAGTCAGTCGACCGTGCACCCAGACCTTCATAGTGTTTGCCAATATCAATATGCGTGCGCATATTAGGGTCACACTATTCTACGGTTACCTCTTGTGAAGGGTTCTCAACAAAATCCGAAACATCAAGCAAAAAACAGCCTCCCGGAACTCGCCTATCGGCTTCTATAGGCAAAGTGAATTACTTTATCCACTAGACGTAGAAGCGTAACATTTTCTATGTACGCGGAAAGGTATTTTAAACAAATTAAGCCGTAGTTCTGAAAACGGTGCTATTTTGTTGGGTCTGAAGGTTTTTTATAAGGATTCATTGGAGAAATTCTGCATTAAATATGCTCATTCGATTACTTAAATTAAGGATTTGTGTACATTACGTTTGCGAAAACCTCCAACTTTAGACGGATCTGTAAAGAACTTATTAGTATTGTGCGTTTGCGGAGGATGCCTTTAGTGCAGATGAAAAATGAGATCTTCTTGTCAACGCGCTACCTCTAAGGGTTTCAGATTTCTAACTACCCGAAGACAGGAGAAGAAGAAGAAGAAGAAGAAGAAGAAGAAG